CTCACCCTCTGCCGCTCCTCTCTGCTTGTGTTCTCTCTCTCTCTCAAATAAATAAATAAAATCTAAAAAAGAAATAAATAAGATCAATCACTTTGATCAGCTGGCCATCTCCCCTGGTCCAAACAGCACAAGACGAAGGGCAGGGGGTGAGTCCCACCCTGAGCGCACATCAGCACCCTTTCACTTGACTTCACTCAACGCAGCGTAATTCAGCACCCAGTTCAGTCCACCCTTCAAACAAATGTTTGGCTTTTACTGTATGCCAGGCACTGCGCTTAGCACTGAGGATCCAGACAGAAATAAAGCAGGGCCTTACTCGCAGGGGGCTGCCAGTCTTTTAGAGGCGACGGGCAAGGTTTTGAGAAAAGGTGCCAACCACAGCTATGGGCTGACCAGCACCTCCAGAGCTTACTGCTGGATGGCAGAGGTGGGTCTCACAGCAACAGGAGGAGCTAATCTGGTGAGAAGTGAGGGGAGGCATCCAGGCATGGACCTGGCGGGTGCTTTGGCAGCCACCTCCTATGATCCCATCCTGGTGGCTCGGGCCTGCATGGGGAGGGGGCTCGCCTGACTCCCACAGACACAGATCCCAGCCCTGGAGGGACCCAGGACATGTCTACTTCTCACCTGGGTCCTGTTACCACCTTGTGGCAGGACCCCTTTCTCTGCATGGACACCCCCCTCCATCGCTGGCTCGTGTCCTGTGCCAGGGCCCCCGTGGGCTCCTCTCTGTATTGTCCCCCAAGCTTCCACACAGTCTCTCTTAAAACCACGTTATAGAAGAGTGGAGGCTCAGACAGAAGTGTGGGAGCTGCGGCCCTCAGCCCTGAAAGAGGCTCCCATCTATTTGGGAGAAAACCGAGGCTCCCAAGCTGGGAGGAGGAGAGACTGGGCAGGGGTGGGGACCGTGCGAGGGAGCGCCACAGAGCTTGGCGTCAACCCCTAGACCTGGCTGGAATCCGCGCACCTCCCGGTCTCCAGCCCACGGACTCCTACTCATCCTTCAAAACTTTGAGTCTGGCCACCCGCGTGACCTGTCGCACCCACTAACCTGGGCACGGCAGACCTGCCCCCTCCTCAGAGGACCCAGGGCGGGAGGAGGGGGGCAGGGGGGTAGTGGGCCTGGGCACCCACGCGGGGAGGTGGACATGGGGGTGGCGGGCTAGATCAGACGCACGTCACCCCGGGGGTGGCCGCGTGCCACCACGCCCCTCCCCGGGGTGTCGGGGGCGATCGACCTCAGCCTCGGCCCCGCCCCCGCCTCTGCCTCTGCGGGCTCCCCGGGATGGGGAGGGCGGGGGCGGGGCTCCGCGCGGGGAGGGGGGGGAGGAGGGGGAGGGGGGGGAGGAAGAGGGGGAGGGCGGTACAGGCAGGCGGGGCTCTGCGCGGGGGACGGGCCGGGGCGGAGCGCGGTGGCCCCCGCCGCGCCCGCCGCTGCTGCTGAGCCCCCCGGACACGCTCGCCTACCCGGGCCCGGCGGACCGCGGAGCCGCGGAGGACGCAGGCTGCGCCGGGTCCGAAGCGCGGAGCGTGGAGCGCGGGCGCCCAGGGGTCCCGGCGCGGGGGCGGCGGGCACAGGCTCGACCGGGCGCGCCGAGGACCCCGGGGCCCGGCCGTGCCGAGGTAAGCGGTCACCGTGGAGGTGGCGGGCGGGGACAGGGACGGGGATGGGCTGGAGCGCAGAGACCTGTCGGAGCCTTTGTCTGCGGCGCGCGCGGCCCCACTCGGCGCCCCCTCCCCCTCCGCGCCGGCTCGGGGCAGCTGAGTCCAGGGACCAGGGCACGTGGCTCTGGGGACCCCGAATCTCCCACCCCACCCCACCCTTGTCCTGGGAAGAGGTCCAGCATCTGGACTGGGCCAGCCCCCCCCCCCCCCATCAGCCCATCTGCAAGCGCAGGACCCAGACCCAGGAGAGTGGCCAGTGGCCTCAGGTCATGCCCAGGTCTGGGAGCCACCTCCCTCCCTAGGCATGCCCAAAGGGTCCTTCCACCTGAAGTTCTTCCCTGGACCCCCTCTGCCCCATCTCACCTCTTCCCCCAGCCAGCTCCCTCCTAGCTCTTGGAACAGCCGCTGTAAGAGGCAGGGCCTCTGTGTCCAGGGGTCACCTCGTGGTGGCCTGGGGAGTCTGCCGTTTGCCTAGGGGTACAGGCCTGGGAACCAACTTTGTTGCTGATAGAGCCGGGCAGGCAGAAGGAGCCCGGGGGATGCAGGGTGCTGCCAGCCCTGGGACCCAGAGAAACCGAGGCCAGGGAGGAAGGGGTGGGTCTGGGCTGTGGGAGCCGCCAGCCGGTGCCTGAGGCCAGTGCATTCACCTCTCCAACGGGAACTGCAGGAAGGGGGCGGCCGGGAGCCTTGAAACCCCCTTTTCTGTGGGCAGAACCAGCAGGGAGGGGTTGGGGCAGTGTGTGGGCTTGGCTGTGGAGGAGCAGTAGAGAACTCAGTAGGCCTAGGCACGGGGGGCCAGGGACATCCAAGGGTGTCCAGATGGCTAAGGCTTGTGGCCCACGATGAGTGTGAGGCCTGAAGAGGGCCAGCGGCCTGGCTTTGCAAATAGAATTCAGGTTCCTTGTCCCCTCTGGGGGGACACACTGTAGAGGCAGAGCACAGCCCCGAAAGGGAGGGGTCAGCCTGGCCTTGGGAGCACATTCAGAAGCAGCATCCACTCAGTCACAGTTGAAATGGGGGTGCCAAAGGTGCTCGACCCGGCTGGGACTTTAATGCAAGCTGCGTGACCTCTGGCCTCGGCTCTATGTGCAAAGTGGGGGCCCGTGAACCGGGCTTTCAGGATTGCTGGGGTCAGGAGCCCCCTCAGGCCCACAGCAGTGCCCCGAAGCGGCGTCTTGTGTGACTTCTGAGCGCCTCCTGTGCGCAGCCAAGCCTCTGGCCACCCAGCCACCCCCTCCCCCGATTTGTGAAGTACTTTCCCACCCTCCTTGTCCACAACAGAGAGGTAGGGAAACTGAGGCCCAGGTGTGGCCCACTGAGGCAGTGACTGGTGATCTGTTGGCCAAAGACATGAACTGTGTCTTCTCAGCTACTCCCCAGGAGTGGACATCGAGGGGCCCTGGCAGGGTTGGGGGAGCCCGTGCACTCTTGGTTTTTTTTAAACTCATGTGCATGTTCTTAGATTTTAACTAAAGAGGAACGTGAGAGGAGGAGGAATGGGCTGGTGGGCGATCTGAGGCTCCAGGCTGTTGGTGTGGAGTCTGCGGGGTCTGGGGAGGAGCGAGTTGGCCTAGGCCAGGAGAGGTGGAGACGAGCCACCTTATGCACCCCCCAACTCTGCCACCAGTGAGGTCACGCCTAGGGGCCTGGGGCCGCCGCCGCAGGGGAAGCCAGAGCCCCCTGCCCACAGGAGGGCCCTGGAGCAGCACGTGGGGACAGCGGCGGGGCTGGCATTGTGGGTGGTACCTGCCTGCCTCACCGATGAGCCAGAGGGAGCAGTGGGGCCGCCTCCTGGCTCAATGCTGAGCACGTCCGCCTTCCCGGGTGGCACGGCCAGGCGTGGCCAGGGCACTGCATCTTGGGAAGCTTTGCAGAAGACCGGTCAGGGGTTCGGGGTTCGGGCGTCCTCCAGGCCTGGGCTGGAGTGGATTGCAGAGAGGAGCGTTCCATTGTTGGAGACCACTGCTCTGCAGCAGGCTCCTTCCCCAGCCTTCCTATCTGCCCCCAGGGAGGCCAGGAGGGCGGGGCCCGGGGTCTCTGAGCCTCCTCTGTGGGATCCTGCCCAAGGCCACCAAGCAAGGCCATGGTCATAGAAACCAGCTCTGTCCTAAATCCCACTTGGGACCCCCAGCTCCAGATGTGGCAGGAGGCCCAGGCTGGGGGACACTCAGGAAAGGCACTGAGCCTGCAGGGGGGTTACGCCAGCTTCCCAGCCCCCAGACAGAGCACCCCCGACCCTGTTCTCCATGCTTGTGGGAGGGGACCGGGGCGGCCTCGAAGCAGGACGGCTCCGGGCTCCAATGCTCCAGTAAAAACTCTGTGCAGAGTAGGAAAGGTGAATACACGGGGCCAGCAGGAGGTGCTCGGTAACAGCGCATCAGGTCTGGAGGCTGGGAGCGGGTAAACTGAGGCAGGAGAGCGGGAGGAAATGAGACAAAGCATGAGCAGGCAGAGGTGGAGGGGTGGTGACAGGCTGGCCACAGAGACGACTGGAGTAGTCCTGGGCACATGGGATCCCTCGGGAAGTGGGCCTTCTCCTGGCCTCTTCCGTGGGCTCCTGCATAAGCTCATGATGGGTGGATCTAGGTGCCATGCTCAGTGCCCGATGCTCTAGTGTCCTGCCTGTGTCTCAGATTCTCCTTGAGGAGCTGCAATGAGATAAATGAATAAAAATCATTAGAAAAACAAATTGATGGGGCGCCTGACTGGCTCATTTGCTGGAACGTGCGATCTCAGGGTTGTGAGCTCGAGCCCCCCCGCTGGGCGTACAGATTACTTTTTAAAAAATAGAATCTTAAAAAAAAAGGAAAGAAAAAAGAAAAATGGATAACCCTTTCAGGGAAAAAAACAAGACTCCCCCATCCCCACCCCACAGTGGGGGTGTCTCTCCATCACGGACAAATTAGCTTCTTCCTTTCTTTTAAAGGTAAAGGTAGTAGGTTTGAATTGAAGCAAGAGAAACTGAGGCAAGACCAAAGGAAGGACTTCCTGGCCCGGAAGGTGGTGGGCCCCAGAATGGAGGGCCGCAGTGCTTCAGAGTGTCCCACGGGCCTGGGTTTGGGTTGGGACGGCCCCCCTTACTGTCAGTGAGACGGGGGGTGGGGGGTGGCACCCTCTAGGTTTGCGTGGCCTCCACAGCAGTAAAGTGAGCGAGTCCAGGCGCCTCCTTCCAGAGGGAAATGGTGCGTGGGACCCTGAGCACAGCGCGAGCGCACACACCGTCCCATAAAGTCAGTTGCAAAGCCCCCGGGGCCGTGGCGGTGGCCAGCCCCCCCCCCCCCCCCCCCGCGCTCCCTCAGCCCGCCCCCTCTCCTCTCTCCGCAGCACGGGCTACCATGGGCTCCGTGGGCAGCCAGCGCCTCAAGGAGCCCAGCGCGGCGGGCACGCCAGACAGCAGCGTGGTGATGAGCTTCAGCTTCGACGGCTGCCGGCCCGAGGAGGAGGCGGTGGGGACGGCTCAGGGCCAGGGCAGCGTGGCCGGGGGCGTCCCGGGTTTCACGGACTCTGGTGAGTCGGGGGGGGGGCAGGACCTAGGTGCGTGTCTGGCACCGAGCAGGGATGGGCCGTGGGAACCCTCGGGGAGCCTTGGGTGGTCCCCGAGTGCGGGGCGCTGCGTCCGTCAGGAGGGATCTGCCGTGGGGACGATCGAGCTGCTGTCTCAGGGACCTCACGCGGATGCCATGTGTCCGGGGCGGGTCACGGAGCCTCATCTGGTCCACCGGGCAGGTGGGAGGGCGCACGGGGAATCATGCGCTGCCCCGCACAGCTTCCGTCTGGAGGTGACCTGTTGTCGCTTTGGTCACCTTCGCTGGCCTCCCTTCAGTGGAGATGGGCAAGTCCCTGAAGGGAGGACCGATGTGAGGTGCGAAGATTTGATTTTTGTCCTGGCTGTGTGACCTTGGACAAGGGCCTAAACCTCTCTAAGCCTCGATCCCCTCACCTCGAGGAAATGGCCAGTTGCCTCTGCGGCCAGACTTGCTGGGTAGAGGGCTGCGTGCGCGGCTGACGCTGGACAGGTTTGGGTTCAGCCCCATCCCTCTGCCAGCCTGGGGACCTTGGGCAAGTTACCATTGTCTGGGCTTTGGTTATGTCCTCTGTGAAAAGGGAACGGTCCAGGAGCCACACTCGATGTGGCTGCAGCGAAAGCCCCAAAACATGGCTTAGGGCTATCCCTGCGCTCAGGAGGCCCCCTGTGATAGCTCATTTTGGGGTGGCTGTGGTTTATGCTAGCACCGCCCCAGGCTCAGAAGTAGGGAGGCTTATTCTCTGGTTCCGCCCCCTGTCTCTGCACGTGGGAAGCAGAAGTCCTGCTGGCCAAGCCCTGCAGTGGGTTGCTCCCCCATGCCTAGGCAGCGCCAGCTCTGGGCCCATCCCCAAGGTGCCAGGCATCCCCTGGCCAGGCGTGGCACGAGATAGCATGTGGCCCTGGCAGCCGTGGCCATAGAAGTGGATGGTAGAAGTGGTTTTAACTATAGTGGCCTTGGTGATGGTGGCTGGTCACTCAGGGTTCAGCCAAGAAACAGAGCCCAGTAGAAGATAACATAGACAGATGGTAGACAGTGTTGTTGATATGATGCAGGTGTAGATATATATATATATATATACACGCATATGGATTTATTTCAGAACATAAGCAACTACAGCGGAGCCTGGCTAAGGTGGTCTGAAGTCCATAAGGAAGTCTAAAGTCCTGCGCTGTTTCGGGTCTCAGCTCTGGGAAGACCTAAATGTCTTGCCTGATTAGGTCAGGCCCACCCAGGGCAATTTCCTTTGATTAACTTAGAGGCCACCGAGGAGGAACTTTAATCCACAAAATTCCTTCCCAGCAGCAGCTCAGTCAGTGTCTGATTGAACAACAACGGGTTAGTTCAGCCTGCCAAGTGGACCCGTAAAACTGACCCATCACAGTCCACCCCTCGCCCGGCTTGGCTCCCAAACACAGCTCCGTAACCACACTTAATCTCCAAATAAAGACACTGACAGAGTCATGCCGCTGCCTGGCACAACACAGCTAACCGCAGTACAACCAAAAACACGCTGATGCCTTCCCCGGAAGATGCAAAGCCTGGCGTACCTCGGTTGCTCCTGTCCTCCGACAGCCCCTGATTTAAACCCTGAGATTTAACACAGATGCATCCTCTGTTAGACGGTGAGGTGATAAAGTGGACAAAACCCAAGCTTTGTGTTGATACACATACACAAACATATTCCTATCGAGGTAAAGGATAAGTACCCACAAAAACGGGCCTTCCTCGGGTCTGAAGGGGTCACCTGGCCGTGGCTGGTGTTTATAACTACCTTTCTCCGCTGCCCAGTCCTCGCCTTTTGCCCTCAGCTACTCAGCTGGTCATGCTGCTTTGCCCGGTGGAGTGACCCAAACCTTCATTTCTAAAGGTGAAAATCGGACCGTTTCCGTTTTCCGTTGACTTCAGCCCCAGGGAGTGGAAGTCGTAGGAGATGCCGTGAGGAGCCTCTTGCATTGCAGGCATGGTCCTGTTCTGTCCCATCCCTGCCATGCCCCTGGTAGTCAGGAGAACCGCCCCAGCCGGGATGGCCACGCTCTTCTCGGCCTGTTGATTCAGGAGGAGCCCAACGTGGCCAGTGGCCGTCTTGCTTCCTGGTCAACGGGACGGTCGTGTGTCCGGGTAGAAGCGTTTCTCCCTTGGGAACCTGGACCCTCCCTCTTGGGCCAGCAGCCGCGTTGCTGGCGGGTCTCTGAAGGTCGTAGGGGCTGGTCCCACGTCCACGTGCACGCTCCCTGGCCACAGGAGTGCTGACAGGGGGAGCTCATGGGCAGCCTCCCCGGGGTTTCGCCTCGGCTGAGTCTTCCAACGGCCCTTCCGCGGTTCCGTGAAGCCAGCTGCCCTCTGGCCGTGATGGCGATGGCCGTGGGTGGTGGCCATGACAGCTCTGGCCGTGAAGGGGGGTGGTGGCCGCGATGCCGGTGGATAGCGTGGCAGTGACCGCGGTGGTTATGGGGATGGCAGTGCTACGCTAGACTCTGGTCCTGGCACAGTGGCCGTGGCTTCGAGGGGTCTGTCCCTTTCTCACCTGCTGCCTCTGGGCTCAGCGGTCGAGGAGCCGGTGCCCGATGACCGCTACCACGCCATCTACTTTGCGATGCTGCTGGCCGGCGTGGGCTTCCTGCTCCCGTACAACAGCTTCATCACCGACGTGGACTATCTGCACCACAAGTACCCAGGTGTGTCCCCCGCGGCCGTGCCACCGCCACAGGCTGGCCGCCACCCTCCCGAAACTCCGCTCGGGGAGCCCCTGTTATGCGCAGCCTCGCTCAGCTGCCGGTCGCCGAGGGTCAGCCGCTTTGGGGCGGGGCGAGGAAGCAGCACCTGGCGGGGGTGGGTGCGGAGAAGGGGCCCCCCCTGAGCGCCTGCTGCCGGCCCCCCCGCAGGGACCTCCATCGTGTTCGACATGAGCCTCACCTACATCCTGGTGGCGCTGGTGGCTGTGCTCCTGAACAACGCGCTGGTGGAGAGACTGAGCCTGCACACGAGGATCACCGCGGGTATGCTGCCCGCACACCTGGCCTGCCACTCACCTCCCCAGCCTCCCGGCGCCTCATTCTCCCCATGTGTAGGGTGGGCACACCTCCTAGGAACGTCACAGGGTTCCGTGTGCGAAAATAGGGTCAAGGCTTTTGTGCACCCCCACATTGTGTCCTGGGGCCCCGTCTGCTCCCTGTCCCTTTCCTCTTCATGACAACATCCAGTTTCAAGGCCCAGCTCAAATGGTGCCTCCTCCAGGAAGCCTTCCAGGCACTTCCAAAGTGTCCCCGGCCCTCCCAGTATTAAGAAGAAATGCAAACAGAGAGGGCACCTCTGACCGGGCTCTACAGGAAGGGTGGGATGAGGGGAGCCCCCGGCCCACTGCTCACTGCCCACCTCTCTGCCTCGCCCCCCCCCCAGGCTACCTCTTGGCCTTGGGCCCTCTCCTCTTTATCAGCATCTGTGACGTCTGGCTACAGCTCTTCTCTCGTGACCAGGCTTACGCCATCAACCTGGCCGCTGTAGGCACTGTGGCCTTAGGCTGCACAGGTAGGAACCTGAGCCGGAGTGCGGGCGGGGCTGGGGGGCGGTGGCGCCGAGCCTCTGAGTGAGTACCCAGTGCGGGCCGTCCCACCGCAGTCCCGCCGCCCGCTGGGGGCGCCCCACACGGGGTGACGAGGGCTCGGTGCCAGGCCGTAGCCACCTGCGCGCCCCCCACGCACGCTCGCACACCGTGAGTGCACAACCCCAGGGCCTCCTGCGTCCCCTGGCACATCCTACGCAAAAACGTGCCCGCGCACCGCACCTGCACACCACCTGCACGCACACACCGCACATCCACAGGGCCCGTGCACACTGAGCACACACTGTGCACACGTCCGCACACGCACTGCATGCCGTGTGGGCGCTGAGGAGCGCCGTGGTTGTCCCAGGCATAAACTGCGCTTCAGGAACCATCCTGCCCACGGCACCGTGTTTCTCTTGGGCCGTGGCTTTCTAAGTTATCTTTTTAACTTTTTATCTTGAAACTATTTCCAACCTATGGAAAGCTTACAGGACTAGCGCAAGGAACTCCCATAGACCCTTCACGTCGGCTCGCCGATGGCTGACATTTTGTCACATAGCCTCCTCTCTGTCCCCCGTAGAGATATGTGTACGTTTTGGCCCTGAATACGTGTAAATATAAAATAGTCTGTGTTTTCACCTTAAACCATTTGGGTTCGAGGGTGTATTTTCTAGAAGGCAGGACGTTTCTTCTATCGCCGTGATGCGGCTGCCCAAGTCAGGAAGTGTAACACCGCACAGCGCTGTTCTCTGTGACCCGTGTGCACACTTCACCAGTCACCTCAATAACGTCCTTTATAGCGTTGTGTTCCTGACCCAGGATCCGATCCTGGGTCACGCCCTGCGTCCGATGTCACATCTTTAATCCCCTTTAGTCCCGCGTGGTCCTCAGCTTTCCTCTTCCGTGGCAGCGACGTTTGGAAAGGACCAGGCCAGTTGCTTTGTACTTTTTCACACTCTTTTTTGAGCGGAAAGAAAAACATGGCACGCCATGAGCCAGTGAACGCATTTGCGTGAACGTGTGTGTTGATCCGTGAAATCAGGGCTCTGGGAAATAGTGTCGTCAGGTCTGTTTTGTTCTGTTCTATTTTGTTAAAAAGCAAATGCCAGGAAGGAGCAGGAGACCCTAGTTTTCCTAGTGTGACTGCCCCGGGGTGTCCGTGTAGGCCACAGATTCGCTAACCTGCAGGGTCGGAGCCCGGGCATCTCTCCCCCGCCCTGGATCCTGCTGAATTTCTGCCCATGTTGGTTAGGATGAGAGCAGGGAGGCTCTGGTAACCAGGGGCCCGGAAATCTCAGTGGCTTCATAGAACTGAAGCCACTATTTCTGGCTCTCGATGCGTGTCCAACACAAGGCCGGAGGCGATGCTCCACACTGTCACTGGGAGCCAGGCCGCAGCGGTCCCCGTCTGTCACACGGGACCCTTTCGGTCACTGCCGCTGGGAAACCCCAGAAGTCCACAGGAGCTTCTGTCCACCTCGGCCAGAAGTATGCATGTTGTTTCTGCTCATATTTCATTGGCCAGAACTAGTCACAGAGCCTGGCCCCTGGCACATGCTGTTTGGTGGGCAGGGTGGGTGGACCCAATCCCTCCGCCAGGTGATGGTGGCATCTCACGGTTACTCCTCTGTCTCTCCCCCCAAGTGCAGCAATCCAGCTTCTATGGGTACACGGGGATGCTGCCCAAGAGATACACCCAGGGCGTGATGACCGGGGAGAGTGAGTATCTGCAGCCCCCCAGGAGGAACCCCCAGCAAGGGGTCACGCACTGGGCTGGGGACGGTGACCGCCGTGTCCCCCCACCTGGCGGGTGGGGGGCAGGGACTCCAGGCGGGAAGGGAACGGCTGTGATGTGTGCACATTTGTACAAGGGTGCAGACCTTTGTGATATGAGAAGCGGGGGTCTAGAGCGACTTGGAGTGCTCGTGCGGCTATGCACTTTGTGAGTCTGCGTGTGTGTGTGCGCGTGGGCGTGAGCGTGAGCCTGTGTTCAGAGCCCCAGACCCACGCGCTAACCTCTGCCCTGCACCCCCACTTGGCTTCTCAGACTCACTTTCCCAAACCCACCTGTTCTGTCCACCTGCCCCTGCTCAGCGAATGGCACCCCCAAACCTGAAACTTACCCAGCACCCTGCGACTTGCCCTCCAGGCTGATCCCTGCACTCCAGCCCAGGTCCAGGTAGCCAGCTCCCCTCTGGCCCTGCTGCCCCCGCCCACATATCAGGTCCCCTTTGAAGCACCTTCCTCCAGATGTTCTGTCTTCCTTCCGTGCCTGGATGGGCCGGGGTCCACAGTGTGGTCCAGGCAGGAAGCTGGGCCCAGGGCTTTTCTTCAGGATATTCTGCTCCTCTACCATGTGGGGAGGTGGCCAGATGTCCCCAGGGCTCCAAGCCTTAGGTCTGTGGGGTTTGGTCCCAGGAAGGCCCGGGGCCAGGTGGTTGGCTTCTGTGTGTTTCGTCAGGAGGTGAGGGAGGCGGCTGAGTGGTGCTGATTTGGGGTGGCTTTAGGCAGCCAGGAGCCCCACACCCACAGTGGCCATGGCCCGCCTCTGCCAGTCGCTGCCCAGGGGCTCATGGTCACACCCCACACCCACATCCTGTCTGACATGACCCCACCGCCCTCCCTCGTGATCTCGAGACCACACCCACACCTCCTGTCAGCTCCCGGCTCCTGGACAGCCCCTGCCTGCCCCCCCATCCTGCGCATTTTTGGCATTTTTCTGTGACTTGTTTGCAGTTCCCCCACCGAGCTGTGGGAAGGCAGGGCCTGTGTCCTCTCTGTTCCCACTGTGTCCCCAGGGCGGGATGGCGCGAGGCACACAGCAGGTGCTGTATAAATGCTCCGTGGGTGTGTGTATGAGCAGACAGCAGTGCCTGGGAAAGGCGCATTCTGAGCAGGCACATTCTGTGAACAGCTCCCTGCCTGTATGGGGTTCGGGCTTGGGCTGGGGCAGACCAGGCCTGGGTCGGGGCAGGTGCGGGGCTGGGGGGGGGCGGGGCGGGGCAGGGGCGGGGCTGGGGGGGCAGGCCGGGCCGGGGGCGGGGCAGGGGCGGGACCGGGGCGGGGAAGGGCTGGGGGCGCTGAGTGGGGGCTGGGGCCCAGGCCCAGCACGGCACCCGACCCACTCCAGGCACGGCGGGCGTGATGGTGTCCCTGAGCCGCATCCTCACCAAGCTGCTGCTGCCGGACGAGCGGGCCAGCACGCTCATCTTCTTCCTGGTGTCCGCGGGCCTGGAGCTGCTCTGCTTCCTGCTGCACCTGCTGGTGCGGCGCAGCCGTTTCGTGCTCTCCCACACCGCGCGGCCCCGAGACAGCCGTCCGGGCTGCAGAGCCGGCTACCGCGTGCACCACGACGTCGCCGCGGGGGACATCCACTTTGTGAGTCTGCCGCGCGCTGCCACTGCCAGGTCCCGGCCAGGCTCCTCCGGCCGTGGCCTCCGTCACGCCGTGGTCTGGGGCTCCTTCCCGCGGGCCCCCCTCTCATCTGTGGACCCAGGCTCTTCCCTCCGCGTGTGTGGCTTGAGGCCCTGCAGGCCGGCCAGAGCCATCCTGGGGGCGGGGCGCCCTCTGGTGGCAGCAGGGCTGCACAGCCCCGGAGGGACAGCGTGGCGGGTGGGGCGGCCCCTGGAGCCTGAGGGATGACCCCGGGGGGCCGGGCGGGAGGAGCCCCCTGCGCCCCTTGGTGTCCTCAGCAGCGAAGTCCTCGCAGACAGGACCCAGAGAGTCTCCCGGGCTCTGCTGGGGAAACCCTGCCGTGAGCCCGAGGCGCGGAGAGGGGCCGCCCAGTGACATGCCGTGTCACAGTGCTGGGACAAGGCCCGCAGTGGGGACGGGGCTCCTCAGTGGTCAGGGAGGTTCCTCGAGAAGCGGCCTCTGGGTGGAAACCTGACCCCTGTGGACGGGAGATGAGAAGGTCCACAGGAAGGGCATTGGGGTCCAGGGAAAAGCAAGCGCAAAGGCTCCAGGGCTGGAGGGAGCTGTGTTTGGGGGGCCGCGGGGGGATAGGAGGGCGGGCCGGGAGCCTGGAGGGCCCCTCCCCACCCACACCCGACCGGCCCCGTCCTCCCTCCAGGAGCACCAAGGCCCAGGCCTGGCCAACGGCGGGTCCCCGAAGGACAGCCCAGCCCACGAGGTGACCGGCGGCGGCGGGGGCGCCTACACGCGCTTTGACGTGCCTCAGCCTAGAGTGACGCGGAGCTGGCCCTCCTTCAGAGGTGGGGGTGGGGGATGCGGCAGGCAGGGCGGTCCTCTGGGCATTGCCGGTGGCGCCCCTGCCCCAGGGGGCCCACACAGGCGCTGACCCCTGACCCCTGGCCCTCCGCCCACAGCCCTGCTGCTGCACCGCTATGCTGTGGCCCGCGCCATCTGGGCCGACATGCTCTCCATCGCCGTGACCTACTTCATCACGCTGTGCCTGTTCCCGGGTCTCGAGTCCGAGGTCCGCCACTGCGTCCTGGGCGAGTGGCTGCCCATCCTCATCATGGCCGTGTTCAACCTCTCCGACTTCGTGGGCAAGGCAGGCCTGCAGCCCCTCCCCGGCCCCTTGGGGAAGAGAGGGCACCGCGGGGGCGGGGGGGGGCCTTCAGGAGCCCTGGGGAGGGGCTTGGGGAGGGGCAGGCCCTGAGCTGAGGATACCAAGTGGGGAGAGGGGGCAGCCGAGCCACGGCGCCATCCCAGACCACGTGTGTCCCCCACACCCCCGCGGGCGGCCCCAGCGACCCCGCAGGGCAGGGCAGTCCCAACTGTCGGCCGTTCCCACAGGGCCGGCGCCAGCACCCTCCTTGTGTCTGCTCCGTAGCTAACGGGTCCGTGGGGCAGGTCTCCACAGACAGCACAAGAAGTACTCCCAGGGAGCAGGCACCTCAAAGGGGCCAGAAGAACGTGGGCAGAGGGCCCTGAGCTACGAGCGCAGGGTTAGGGGGTCCCGGCTGGAGTAAGATCAAGGCTGCCATCTCTGGGGCAGGCCTGACATGGGCCTTCTTCAGATGAACGGAGAACGGGAGGCTCAGAGAGGGAAAGCTCTTTGCCCGAGGTCACACAGCAGAGCCGTCTGAGAAACAAGTCTGGTTCACGAGGGAGCACGGCTTAATTAGTGGGCCCGACTCCTACCTTAGTCCTGCTACTTCTGGCTTCCAGAACTGTGGCAGGTGGACCTGACCCTCGCGCCTCCGAGGGCCTCATTTCTCAAGCAGGGTCAGGAGCCCATCCCGGGAGGGTGCGGTGAGGATTGAGCGGGGGAGGGGGGTCCCGTGCCGTGTTTAGATGGACGCCAGGCACGCAGCAAAGGACCGTGTGTTGCTGTCACAGGGATTTGGTGGATTTACTGGTCAAGGTCGACAAAGGACAGGGACACACCCGGAGCTGGGAGCATCTGGGGACAGGGGGCTGCAGTAGAGACTGGAGGGGCGGTGGGCTTGGGAGAGACGGGGAGCCAACGTGCCCGGCTCCCCCCAGATCCTGGCGGCTCTGCCCGTGGACTGGCGGGGCACCCACCTGCTGGCCTGCTCCTGCCTGCGCGTGGTCTTCATTCCCCTCTTCATCTTGTGCGTCTACCCCAGCGGCACGCCCGCCCTGCGCCACCCGGCCTGGCCCTGCGTCTTCTCTCTGCTCATGGGCATCAGCAACGGCTACTTTGGCAGCGTGCCCATGATCCTGGCGGCGGGCAAAGTGAGCCCCAAGCAACGTGAGCTGGCAGGTAAGGCCCAGCACCCTGCTGCCCGGCAGGGAAGTCGAGGCCCACAAAAACCGCGGCCACGTAGCCAACAGGTGCGTCTGGGTTGCAGAGTCAGGTCAGCCTCAGGGAGCTCATAGGGGCGGGACATTCATCAGTCCCTTATTCCTTCATGCATCCCACAACTGCTTGGTGAGCCCCGACTGCGTGCCAGGCCCTGTTCTAGGCACCAGGGACATGGGGCCATGATCCCTGCGCTTGTGGGGTCGTGTAATGCGTTGAGTGGTGGTAAGTATGACAGAGAAAAACCAAGCAGACAAATGGGATGGGGTCGTTGAGATGGGGAGTTTGAAATGTAAACGGGACAGTCTGGGAAGGCCTCCCTGAGGAGGTGACTTCTGAGCAGAGACCTAGAGGAAGTGGTGAGGGAGCCAGCCACAGGGCAATGCAAGGGAATAGCCCTCATGAAAGCCCAGGGCAGAGCCCGCGGTGGGGGGCAGGGGGGTTCCAGGGTAGGGGTGGGAGGCCCGAGCAGGGGCAGGACCCGAATGTTTGTTTGATGGTAGAGCCCACAGGGCCGGCGGGTGGATTGAGAGACCAGGTGTGAGACAGGGATCGAGGGCCAAGAAGGAGTCCCCGGGTTAGGGCTGTCCCAAAATCACCGTGCACTGAGATGGGGGGGGTGGGGGATGGGGCGCTGGAGTGTGTTCTGGGCACAAGAGAAGCCCTTAGACGTCCCGGATTGTCCATGACAAGGAAGCACGTGGAGATGGGGGGCAGGAGACAGGGAAGCAGGCAAGGCCTGGGGCACCCCATGAGTTCACCCCGGGCGTGACGGTCCCTGGATGGCCGCCTCCCCGGGGGCTGGCCGTGGTCACTGCTCCATGCCCAAGGAGCCACGGCTGGGACTCCGGCCCGGTGTCAAGGCCACCGGGGTGATCCTCTGAGCGCCCCCTGCCGCCCTGCCCTGCCCACTGCCTCAGGTCCAGTGTCGCCCACAGGGAACACCATGACCGTGTCCTACATGACGGGGCTGACGCTGGGCTCCGCCGTGGCCTACTGCACCTACAGCCTCACCCGGGACGCCCCCAGCAGCTGTTTCCACACGTCCACCAACTCCTCCTTCCCCACTGGCCTCTGAACCAGGCCCGGCACCCCCCTGCTGCCTGAGGCCCGAGGCCCCGCCCCCCGCCCCTGCCTGCAGTGCCTGTGGGGCCCCGGCTGCCTCCCGGTGCCAGTCAAGCCCCCCCCCGTCACTCTGGCCCCAGGGTTCTGCTGAGCCGTCGGCCACCTGGGGCCGCCCAGCACTGTGCTCCCCGTTCCGTCCCGCGCCTGCCCTTCACCCCCTGTGTGCGGTGGCCCCCGGGGTCACAGCCCTCCCCGGCCAGGAGAGCGGACCACCCCCACCCGTGGCCCCCGACCCCAGCCCTCCTCCACCAGGGAGCGCTCCTCCACCACGGAGCCCTTCTCCACCACGGAGCCCTCTTCACGGACATAAGTGGTCCTCAAGGAGGGAGCCTCTCCCCGCCCCCGGTTCCTAAACCCTGATTCTCCCAAACAAAATGCCATGAAGGAACAGTAGCCCGGGGTCTGAATGGCCTCAGACCATGGTCTACGACCATAGCTTTGGCGCCGGCCTGGGAGCCCCCACCCCACACCGAGACCCCGCCAAGTACCCGGGCACCCACCTGACACCACAGGCCTGGGGGTCTGCACCTGCCCGGGGACCCCTGTCCACGTCTCTGGCTCCTCCGTCTGTGATACCACAAGGGGCACACCCTGGCTGAAGTCACTGCTTGACTGAGACCTTGATCCTCATCCAGTGAGGCCCAAGGAGGGACGTGAGTCCCTGTGAGGAGGGAGAGGTGCGGGGTCCCTCCCCAGCCGGGACCCTCGAACTGAGGGGATTCTGCAGCATCTTGCCAAAGACAGGCTTTTCCAGGGGGAGGACAGCGTGCCCTGCCAGACCCATGGCACACCCGTGACCACCCCGCCCCTCTGTGTCCTGCCCCCCCCCCCCGGTCTGTCCACTAACTGTACCGCACTGGCCATTAAAAGATGAAGGCAGAGAACTGCCCAGCTGCTGCCTCCAAGTAGCGTCTCTGCGGGTTGGGGCTGCCCCCGGCACCTTGCTCACTGGTGGTGGGGGAAGGGGTCCTGGCAGGGCGGGGCCGCCCACATGGCCGGGACCTCAGTCTTTCATCTGTAAAGTGGCCTCAAGTTCCTAGGGGGTGGGCAAGGGTGAACCAGTCCAGTAGCGGGAGGTTCTCCGCGAACCTGGTAGGGGGCGAACTGGGCGTGGGGGCTGGAAGCATGGGGCGGGGGGCTGTGAAAGGCACCTTGGTGCTCCTCTGGCCCTCAGGTCAGGGCAAAGGGCTGCATCCCATCCACTTGGACGGGGAGAAAGACAAAGAGGGGAGGGAGCTTGCCCCCTGCCCGCAGGGACGGAGACAGGACCTGAGGCCGAGGGTTCTGGGTTTCGAGTCCTGGCTGTGCTGTTGATTCATGTGATACGAAGAGCTTCCTGTACGGTTTCGTGCCTTAGTTTCCCCAAGCAGGGGTGTTGGTCCACTCTTGATGTGGGACCCTTGGAGAAGGGTTGGGGAGGGGGCCTGGCCATCAGAAGGGCTGTGTTCCAGGCCTGTGGCCTCGGGGACCCACCCACCGGGACCCACTGGGCAGGCATCACCCCCAGACCCCCAGGTGGGTGCCCTGGCAGCCATGGGAGCCAAGACTTTGAGGCGATACCACAGCGGCCACCAGGTGGCGCCAGTGCACTGCTCCTGCAGGTGGGCGTGGCCGCCGGCTGTCGCGTGACTCGGTTTCTCTGAAACGGGAGGCCCGTCAGGGTCCTTCCCCTGGTGGGTCTCTGGGCAGGTACCTGTGGGGTCAGCCTGAGAGCTGACCTCAGGGCAGGAGGGGGGCGGCAGCAGGGGTGCAGCCCTACGTCCCCACACCTGCCCAGGACCGCTCAAGACCACTGGCACCGGCCTTGTTCTCGTGGTCTTCAGATGTGGGCATGGCTGGGAGTGCCGATCTCTGCGTTTTCAAGGGGAGACGGGGTGCAAGCCCTCCAGCCTCGCACAGGTCAAGAATGCTTTCGGCACCGAGGGACACATCCCGTATCTCAGCCACCCAACACAGTAGCCACTGGCCACTTCTGGTTGTTGGCCCCTTGGGACGTGGGGCCGGGGCCACCGAGGAACTCTTCATTTCCCTTCATTTACATTAACCCGGGTGTAAACAGCCCAGCGGTGAGGCGCCCCGCTCCTGGCCCCCCCCGCCGCTGCCCAGCACCACGCACCCCCTACCCCAGCCCTTGAAATGAACCACTCCAGACAACGGCAGTTCTCCGATTATAGCTTTTTCTCTTTTCTTTTCTTTTTTTATGAAAAAGATCACACAGAATTCGCCAACAAACAAAATTCCAAAAGAAACTTAAAAAAAAAAAAAAAAGGAACAGTAATTCCCCCAAAAAACAAAACCAAAGTCTGGCTTTTCCTTCCCTTAAGATTGTCTGGACGAGGCCTCCCGTCCCCCTGGAAGGCGCGGGGGCTGGTAAGTGCTCTCGGGGCTGAGCCGGGGGAGCGGGGCCACTGCGCCCGGCTGGCCCCCTCCCCCCCTCCTCAGCCTCCGCTCTCCCTAACTGCTTCTCCGTTCTGGGGGCGAATACAGTACACCTGGGCCGGGGTGGGGGGGTGGGGGGCGGGGTGTGCTCGGGACGAGGGGGGGCCCGTGAAGCTGGGTGCTAGACACTCACAATCTAATAGGAAATAAAAAATAATATTCTGCACGTCAGAATGTGTTCGCTTTTTTTTTATAATTTCAATAGCTATTTTTTCACAGTTTTAAAAAGTTTATATTTATATATATTTATATATATTTATCTTTATATATATAATTAAAAAGTTGACTCCATTTAAAGGCATATGATACAGGGGCGGGGAGAGTCTCTCGGTACAATAAAACTGTACAGGTTATGAGAACTGCCGCTCCCTCCGGGCTGGCCGAGGCCTGGGCGGGAGGGGGCCGGGCGTGGCCGGGTCAAGGACTTCAGCACCATTCGGGTTGTGTGTAGTGTACGGGGCCGGACCGGGAGGGGTGGGCCCTCCCTGGGGCCTCAGGGCCAGCGGCCCCCGCCCCCCCTGCCTGGAACCTGGCCGATGCTGCCGGGCTCCACCCTCACCTGGCTCTCGTGCCCGAGTCCAGGCCATCCTGAGAGGGGAGAGCCCGGGCCCCTGGCCGGTGCCCAGAGCAGGCCTGGCCCGGTCGGTGAGGCTGGTGGGCATCCGGCCACCCCGCCCCGTCTCATGGCAGGAGGCTTGGGGTGGGGCTCCGTGCTGAGGGGGGGTCGGGCACTAGGAGCCCCGGGGAGGGCCCTCAAGCAGCGGAAACCCCCGAGCGAGTGTCAGTTTGGTTCCTGGGGAACCCTCTCCCCACTGAATCCCCCCGTGGGCCTCGGCCTCGGCCTGGAGGCGCCTGGGTCCTGGGGGCCCAGCCCGGCCGAGTGCTTACAAGGTGCTGGAGGGGAGGCCCCAGAAGGGGGCCCAGCAGAGCCATACCCTGATAGCTGAGAGGAGCCCCGTCTGGAGGGGCACCCGGGGGCTTTGGGAAGGGGGCTGGGGACGTGTGCACATGCGTGCACGCACGTGCATGCATACAGGCACACACATGTACACACGCACGCCGGGGCGTCCAAGGGCACACTCGCATGCACACAACCAACGCACGTGGCCCCCGAGATGTGGCAGTGATGGTGAGGGGCCCCCGTTGGCCCTCGGGGCGCTCAGCAGAGCACAGGCACGCCGTCGGTGGAGAAGATCATGCCCGTGGTGGGCTCATAGGTGCCCGCAAGGTAGTACAGACCCTCACTGTCCTGGTACTTCTTGGTCTTGAGCATCTGCTCGTACTGCTCCAGGCCCACCACCAGGCACTTGTGCGACACGGTCTGCACGTCGTTCTCGTCCACGTGGGAGGACTGGTAGAGGGCGCGCTGCGGGCACGGCGGGCGGGCGGGCGTCAGGGCAGGCGGCCCAGGGAGACAGGGGGCGCCCTCTCCCGGACCAGAAGGACCAGGGAAAACCCCGAGGGCAGAGACGGAGAAAGAGCCCTCCACCCCCACACCGGAGACGCAGAGACCGAGAGAGATCCCGAGACAGACACACACAGACCAAGACAGAGAGACCCTAAGGCTAAGGACCCCAAAGCGCGGCGGACAGCAGATCAGAGCCAGACATGGGGCTGGGGTCAGGGGCCGGACGCCACCGGAGCCCAGCTTCGCCCCCCCCCCCCAGCCCCCGAGCTGTGTGCAGAGAGCCTGAGAGGCCCAGCCTCCACCCCGTGCCCCTACCTCCATGAAGTCCTTCCTCTGGCTGGAGGCCCTCAGGGCCGCGGGCAGGCTGCGGCCGGACTTCTGGTCCCAGTGCTGCGGGTGGGACAGACGGGGGCGCTGGTGAGCCTGGCTCAGCCCTGCCCGACCTCGGAGCCAGGCACCCCGGCCTCAAGCTCTGACCACCCGGCCTCACCTGGCCCTCGTGGAGGCGCTTGCCCGGGCTGGTCTCCTCGGGGTGGTAGAACCACTTGACACGGACCACCATGTTGCTGCCCCACGATTCCCACATGCTCTGGATGCGGCCGATGTAGGGCAGGTTGGGGCGGCCAGCCGACAGGAACACGGCGCAGTCCCCGATGCGGATCATCTCCTTGCCACGCACGATGGCCTTGTAGAAGAGCTTGCGGGCCTTGCCCTTCATGCCGCGGCGCTGTGGGACCCGGGGGCAGGGGGGGGGCGGAGGGGGGCGCGTCAGGGGGCCCCAGGCCAGCCCAGGCCAGCCCTGCCACCCGTGGCCTGATCCCTGAGCTCTGGGGTTCTGCAAGGGGCAGGCTGGGAGGGAGCAGACCCCCTGCCCGCTCCAGCTGGGGAGCCTCCTTCATCTCTTTGCCCACTGGGTGTCTTGACAGTGACACGAAGGACCCGCAACCAAGAGGGACTTCCATTCCCTGTCCCGAAGCGGCGCTGGCACAGGACCCCCTGGGAGGCCCGCAGACCTCGCACCTGCTGTCCACGAGGCTCGCGCGGCCCAGCCCAGCAGCCCCCTCCTGGCCCCCAACTTCCAGACAGGGACAGTGAGGTCCAGCGGG